ATAAATACTTAAATAGAGAAACCTTACGAACACAGGTGCTCACAGACACACTATCTCGGTCTGCTGCCTCTGAACATGTCTTGTATCATTACTCGTTACTCGTGCTCATGTTGGTTGTTGTTGTCTTTCAGCAGGTGATGAAGCAGATTTTCCCTCTTCTTCTGTTAACTTTCTGCCAAATTCTCTTTCTTTTGCCTTTTGTCCGCCGTAACGACCATAATACTACTGAAAAAGCACAGATAATTTCAGGAACTGTTGGAATTTTTCGATTGCACCAGTGGGTCAAGAGTTTTGGCTAAAACCGATGGCAGCATGGGCGCACCCAACCGTTTTATACATACAGGTCTGTTGTCGCTGTTTGCCCAAGGACTCATAGGCCAGACTGAAAAACACGAGTGCAACACAGAGTCCGTCTGTTAGTAAAGGCGTACCTCCATCCAGACTGCGAGAGTTCCTCTTGCTGGAGGAGCGCTGGAAAAGGGGAGCTGGTCTGTCAATCAGAGAGCTAGCCTGTCTGGTCTGCGCCTGAGTCCGACCGCTGTAACGAAACTTCGAGCCCAATGCTAGGAACTTCCTTGGGGTGGTGGCCATCTCAGAGGAGGTCAGCCTGCACATAAGAATATTGATCTTCAGCTCTGAAAAAAGCCACAGCTCCTTCAGAAATGCAGCACGATGAGAATACAACACCTGAAGAAGGTGTGATGTTCGACACACACTTTCCACAGCTTTTTGGCTGCCTTGTAGTTGGGAAGCTTGAATCCAATGGCACTCTCATAATGTTCCACCTGTTAGAACAGACACAAACCTGCTGTGAACAAGACTAACAGACCTTAGAAGGACGAAAAACAAAAAGGACGTTTTTGTGGCGGTTTACCTCGGATGGTCTTATTTTGATGAAGAAGCTGCTTCGTTTGTATGAGACTTTGAGGACTTTGGGCCAGGGGAAACGGTTGATCCTCAGTTTATCTTTGTAAACCATCAGACCACTGGCACAAACCCCCAGTATGATGTCAACTCCATCCAGATCCTAACAGATATTCAGAATGAAAGAAATAACTCCTAAAGCAATGTAGGCAAATAAATAAACAGGAGATACTGAATGATAGAAAGTTTCCAGCCCAGTCAGCACGCAGTGGTCTAAAGGATGCTCCTTGGATCACTACACCTGGTTATGTTTACTTCATCTGGACTGTTAAGCTCTTTTCTGACTGGTGGTGCAACCGACGTGTGCTGCTCCCAAGCATCCACAGGGGGGCAGTATCATCTTCAAAGTGCTCTCCTATATTTATTTTTAATACCTGCTCTGATGTGAGGAGAATGACCTTATTTCTGGTGTGCACACTGTCACACTGCACAGACGCCACAGGGAGCACCACATTCATGCCGACATGTTAGAGGACAGGTTCTCTGTGAAGTACGTGAACTACCTGCTCCCAAAGTTAGCATGGAAAACAAGGGTGAATCACTACTCACTATTTATTGATTGGAGCAGTTAAAAATAGTCTATAAGGAAGAACAGGAATAATAAGAGCAGCTGAGGATGCTCACCTTGGCCTGGTGGAGGTCCACTCCATACATGGAAAGTTTCTTGGCATTCTCCAGGAACATCAGATCTGCCTGCGCTGGGCTCATGGATCTGCGATGGCATCCCAAAGAAATCCAAAATCTTTAGCTTCTGTGACACTGACTGAATCCACACTTGGATGTTAAATGTGTAACGGCGTCAGCTGCTTTACTACATGTTTCACTTTAGAAACAAGTGTTTCCACTGCAGCTGCCTCCACCAGTGTGTGAATGTGAGAGTGAACTGTACAGCGCTTTGAGGGCCCTGAAAAGTGCTGTATAAATGCAATCCATTATTATTATTCCATGAAGCTCACACACAACTTGACCGTTCAATTATTTCTGATGTTTGTTAGCTTAACTTCCCTGTCTGCAAAGACACATGTCACATGTTAGTGATGCTGCGGACGTTTCCGTCTATCGCATGTGACCGATCGACGGTTTCGCACAAACCTGAGATACTGACAAGTTTTTTATCTGGACGTGGACATAATGTGCAAACTCTCAGCTTTCATTTGAAGGTATTCACATCCAAATTGGATGAAGGGTTTATGAGCGTCAGCTCCTTAACATGTGCCACCCACTTTTTACAGGGACCAAAAGTAATTGGACAGTTGATTGACAGGCTACTTCATGTGCAGGTGTGGGTGATTACGCCGTTACGTCATTATCAATTAAGCAGATAAAAGGCCTGGAGGTGATTTGAGTGAACAGAACAGACAACATGTGGTCAGAGGAGCTCTTGCAGGTGAAACAGGCCATCCTTAAACTGTGGAAACAGAAAAACTCATCTGAGAAATTGCTACAATATTAGGAGTGGGAAAATCTACAGTTTGGTGCATCCTGAGAAAGAAAGAAAGCACTGGTGAGCTCAGCAACACAGCAACTCGTGAACTTTACATAAATTCTCTGCAATTTGTGGCAAGACAGTGGCCCAGCGGTCACTCCAAGAGTGTACTGGGTTCAAATCCACCATCATCCCAGTGAGAATGTGGTCGCCATGGATAAGTGGAAGAAAATAAATGGATGGATCTACAACTAATGAAATAAGAGTTCCACTGGGTGACTGACCTGTATGTGCGGTGCAGCTCCATCATTTTGTCCTCCAGCTCCTTGGTTTGACCTTGGGCCATTTTCATTTCTTTAGCATATTCACTGCCGTGCACTTCAGGGTCATATTCACCAAGTTCTGACTGCAAAGCGTAGGAGCCCAGCAGAGCCAAAGTAACGAAGGAGCAGGGAAGGCGGCCCTGGAGGATGTCCTTTCGCAGTTGGAGACAAAGATAGTATCTGCAATGCACATGCAGTTCTCACATTAATTATAGATAGATGGTAAAGGACCTGGATTAATACAGTCGTACTGTGAGATGTGTTAAAGCCCCAGAAAACTATGGTGGAAACCAGAGTCAGAGCTGAACTCGCACGCTCACTGATGAACGCATCAAAGGTATATTTGATCCAGCTCGGACTCACAGAGGCTGGTCGGGTTGTTCCCGGGAAAAATTGCTTCACCTACTGAAATAATACATAACCAATGTCAATCTGGAGAAGGTCAAATAATACTGGAAGGAAAGATGGAGGCTCCACAGGTTAGAAACAGACATGCAGCTTGGATCCATCTGTGCCGCCATCTGACTGACTGAAAACTTCTTAAATGCCACAGAAAGCTCTGAAGCCTCCAGCTGATAAACTGGACGCATTTTCATCCTTGTGGGAACTAAAAACACACACATGGACTACACACCCCGTCCACTGTGTGACACAATAAAACTATTTTCACCAGTGGGAGACTGGATATGTGCTGTACCTTGTGATGTCTTCTGATAGCTGGGCTGGGTCCGGTGGATAGAATTTTACATTGAAAGTGAAATTATAGTTGGCACCTTGAGAAAGAAAGGAAGGAGTGATTAAACGATTACCCAGACTGGTCGGAGTAACCCATGAATATGTGTGCAAAAATCTTTATTTCCCTGCTCACACAAATCTACCACTGGATTTATGAAACGTGGCTGATTTTATTAATCATTCTAAATCAACAGGCTCATGAGTTTTACTTGCAATCTGCATGCTGCCACACTCATGCTTCTCTTTATAAGGAAACACATTTGTCTGCAGTGCAGTGGTCAAAGCAAAAAAGCAAGAGAAAGGCTGCCTGAAAGTGAAACTACAGCGTCCATGTGGAGACAAAACAGTGACGGTTAAAAGTACAAACGTTGCTGAATATCGTTCCTCCTCAGATACTCACTGTGACTGAAGATAAAGTTTAGGAAAAGACAGGCGTGAGAAAACATGAGGACAGACAGACCTAATCTGAAACTCACAGCAATTACTGTTTGTGAGTGAGGCTCAGTGTCACAGAGACAAACACACGTTTTCTTTGTGGAAGAGTTGAGCTCACCTTGTACCTGCCTGCGGATCTCTTTGGTCAGGTCCATCCAAGTCTAATCAAGAAAATGTCACATGCAGTTTAAGCTTTAGTGATTTCGGACCATCAACTCCTTCAATAACAGGGCAAAGGGTTAGTGTAATCATCAGGTACAATGACGTGAATGATACCTCCTAATGGAACAGTGAGGCTGGGATTGTTGGATACTGACCGTTACACTGACGCTCACCTTCATAGTGGGAGTTTCCCAGATTGCCAGGCCGTAGTAGTCTTTTTCCAGCAGGTTCAGGTGGTCACACACTTTCATGAACAGCTCCTGGCCTTTAGCGTGTTTCTAACACACAAACACACACACTTGCCTTTTACATCTCAGTGATGTAATGCATCAAAGATGAATGCCTCACCCTGAGCCTAAACCTAACCATAAGCCAACTGTAACCCTGACACTAAAGGCACATTTTGCGGGGATGTTGGTCCCACAGGGATAGTAACACTCGAATCTTTGGTCCTCACAAAGATGTATAAGTGCGCACGCACAAACAAATGGAGCAGACATTAGATTTACCTGCTAATGTCACACGCAGGATAATGTGGTCAGAAATAAGCAGTGGAGAAACAGACAGCAGTGACAGGGACTCCAGCTTCTCCTGGACTGGTCTGGTACCACTATGAGTGATGGTTACCACTAAGTACGGCAGCTGAACCACCTTTGTTTGCTGGCTTGATGATAACAGAGGTGTTCTACATAGTGTCTGTTTCAGTGACACGGGCAGCGAGCGCCATCAGCTGCTCGCATGTGTAAACAAAGCAGCCCTGCACAAATGACTCCTTAACCCTTGTGATGTCCTCCCGATTTGCATACAATGCGAGCCATCAGGGGTCAAAAATGTCCCCACTTCATTTGACTGTTTTTTAAAGTATAAAGTATAAATTGTCAATCAATTCAGTGTTACACCTTAGTTTTACTTAAGACCAACACATTAACACAAAATTTACTCAACATTTTACATTTTAGGGCCACCAGACCTTCTTTACAAAAAAAGAAACCCTG